TGACTTTTTCTTTTTCTTGAGCCTTTTTGCTCATATTTTTCTCTTTTATTCCGGGTACGTCCCTGTCGTCAAGACTGTTTCCAAAGATTCGGCACCCATTATTTTGCTCACATCGAATACGTCCTTGTCGTCAAGACTATTTCCAAGGATTCGGTATTCATTTTTTATTCTCTTTTCACAATGAGCAATTAAAGCTATTTGAGGAATAACAAGTCAATAAAGCATATATATATAGCGCATTTATAAATCAAACCACATGCTAGCATCAATATTGCATATTTGCTTAATTTAAGTGTAGAATTTAAGTGTCATGCATCATCTCCCTTAAAAGCAAAATCTAAGTCTCATGAAAAGACTAGAATACATACAAGCTATGCTAGAGACAAATAAACCTTCAAAGTATTGCTAGTATGCACAAGAAAATACCATATGTATAAACAAAGCTCTCTTTTATCAATTTTTTTCGTTGTCATATTTTTGCTTGATAAAACAATGAGGTACAAACTCCCCCTCAAATAATGCCAAAAAGAATTCATAAAAAGCACTAACTCCCCCTCAAAATAACCTCCAATTCTCCCCGAACAAAAATCAAGAAGAAATCAAAGATTTTGAAAAAGACATCCAATTGCCAACGATATCACCAAAATTCTCAAGAATTGACATACATCCAATAGTATTAACCAAAACTACAACCTCAAATACTAGCAAATGAAAAAGCTAAAGTGATGTTACCTTGCTATACAATCGTCATCTCAACGTCAAACGCACATGGGGAGTATGCCGCCAAAATACCTACGAACGAGAAGATGTCGAGGCCTCCGTGTTGGGGTTAGAAATAAGAAATTTTGGAATCCAACACTGAGTGACACGACCACTAGAACTAGTAGGTACATACGCACTTACAAAATCAGAATCAGACTTACCAGAAAACATACCTTTTTGCTTTACAAAAGTCCGATTTGAATTTCGCACAAAATTACCCCGAGACCGGTCTAACCGCCGCTGTGCCTGCGGTCTAACCAGGCCTGGCAACCGGTCTGACCGCCGGTTCACCTGCGGTTTGACCGCTGGCCGGTCTGACCGACTGGTCAGTGTCGGTCTAACCGTGGTCCTCAAATTAAAACCCGATTTTTGCAAATGTCGTTTTGCAAAAGCAATTTGTCTTTCCTTTTTCTGTTTATGGGCAAGTCTAAAACAAAAACCAACCAAATATCCATCTTTTCCACAAAAAGAACAAGTGTACTTTTCACGACAAGTTTGTGAAGTAGATGGTTTTGAAATTGATGTTTTTGCGTCAACAAGAGATTTTGCATTCACAACATTTGATTTCGAAGAAGATGCATTCAAAGAAGACATGATGCCAGCAGATTTAAACACAATGTTCTTAGGCTCAGATTCAATCAAAATTTCACCTCTCCTAGCAACACCCAAAACAGTAGGAGGATGTAGCATGATAAGCATAAGAATCAAAACCTAAACCATGATTGTGTGTGCTAACCTTAGATTGATCAAGAATCATGTTGAGGTTCTTTTTACCATCAGAAAATCTTTGCAAAGAACTTTTCAAATAATAAATCTTCTAAGTAAAAATAGCACAATTTTTGCAAGCATCCAAAAGACCTTTTTGCTTTCTACAAGTTGAGCAAGAAAACACCTCATCTTGTTTAACAATTTCTTCCATGTGTTTAACACGCCCTAAAGAATCTTTCAATTTCATCTCATTCAAAACACACTTTGAACAATCTTGAGAAATTAAAAAACCATTGTTTTGTTTTATCTTATTTGCACATAAAGCATTGACCAAGAACTTGCACAAAAAGCAACTTTGTATTCTTTCAACACATTCTTTGTCAAAATCAACTCATCAACAACACGAGCATGTAAAGCAAATCCAAGAGCAAAAGAAGTTTCCAACTTTTTAGATTTTTCAATCTCAAATTCCAATTTTTTGCAATTAACATAATTGACATCTCGCAAAGCATTAATTTCAGAAAATAAAACTTCACAAGATTGACAATTATCATCATCAGGAATCGAAGATTTTAATCTATCAATTTCAGCATTTAGAATCTCAATAGTGTGATCCTTCTCATCAAGCACAATAGAATATGTTTGAAGTTTCTTAGCAAATTTGTAAGCAGCATATTCTCATTGATCATAACTAAGCTTTTCTTCATTATCATCATCAGATTCATCAACATCAGAACTTGCATTACGAGCAATAAAAACTAGATCAACAACTTGCTTACCTTTCTTCTCATCTTCACCTTCCGATTCATCAAAAGTTGCTATGATTTCTTGGATTAACCACTGCATGCAATGTTTCTTCTTCTCATTTGTATTCTTCTTCTTGTTCACGTCATTCTCTTTGACTTTACCATCATCTTCCTTCTTGCCTCTCCCAAGCTTCGGACAATGCGATCGAAGATGATCAAGTGCACCATACTCAAAACAACGATTCGGTTCTCCTCTTTTCGTGTTCCTAACATTTTTCATAGCTCGAGAAAATTTGTTAGATAGAAAAACCAAGTCCTCCTCCTCGAACTGTTCGAGTTGATCATCGGACATGGCATTAAATAAAGCAAGAACATAAGACTTCGATGAAGAAGCACCAACATCCAAAGAAGTTGAAGACGAAATCAAAGCACTAGACTTAGAATCAACTTTACGAGAAAGAATATTCATCTCATGAGTTTTCAGTTTTGTGTAAAGCGAATCCAAAGTCAAAGTAGACATGTTAACAGACTCCTGAATAGATGTAACTTTTATCTCCCAAATAGATATGTCAAGACCATTCAAAAAGTGGCGAGAAATCTCAGATTGTGGATAATTAACATCATAAGAAGAATCAACAGATCTAAGATCACTCAAAATTTTATTAAACCTAGAAAGATAGTCATCCAATGCTTCTCCAGGTTTCATCTCAAATTTAATGTATTTCTTTTTGAAAAGATCTCGACAAAATTTTATTGCTTCTCTCTGTGTTTACAAAGTGCACCAACAATACTCCTTATAAAAATCTCGACTAAACTCGAAACCCTAACTAAACTAGCAACTCAATTGCTCTCAAAAGCGATACCGGGAAGCCTCACGCTCCCCCTCAATTTATACATGAGGTAGGCAGCCCAAAGCCATGAACCAAACTCATACTAAGAGTCCTAAACACCTTAGGAAACCCTCTAGTACAAGAAAGAAACTTTACATATCCAATCGTACCAAATTTGGACTCCTTCCAAATTCGACTCCACATCCCATACGCACACAATACCTCCATCGTATGCCATATGGAATCTCCATCAACCACGTGCATCGACTCTAGCCTTAGTATCCCGCATGATATCTGACCACCACGGACATCGTCTTACCACCAAGCCGACTCCCGGTCCATCACTGTAAATACTCTCCCGAAACATCGAGTCACCTACACATGAAATAAACAAAGAAACCATATTCCGAGACCAAGCTATCTCCAACTTGACTCATTGTTAGCAAACAATAGCATTACATACATATAGTATCCATCTAGAAACCATAACCATGAAATAATCACGGATATCCAAACAAATAACCCGAAATCGAAACCGACACAGCGTCAGCCGGTCAGACCGCGGGCCGACCGGTCTGACCGCTACACATGAGCCGGTCAAACCGGCAACCACTGCCTGGTCTGACCGGTCCTGACAAAATAGCAAACCCTGTTCAAATTTATCCGTATATCTCCACCCCAGTTTTGTTCGACGCCAACATGGTAGCCATGTGCCCCTGACTTCTATATGTATAGCACAATTGGCAGTGACCTCACTATAATCTGACCCACCATACGTACGTCTGCAACAATCAGCTATTAATGAGCCAATTACTAGCATGAGATAAATCTCCGCCTCAACCAACACCAAAAATACCCCAAACCGCTCAATCTTGTACAAAAGGAGTTGATCACATCAATTTATCAATTAGATGTGATGTAGAATTTTTTTAATTACACGGCATATGCACACACCACTACACACGTAACACCACACTCACACTCCCGCGAAAGCATCTCTTAACACATATTCCAAGAGACGGAAACTATCGGCACATCTCTGATCTCACGATAGTCCTGTTGAAAGTTCACTTGCATATGTATAATATTCAAATTTTAGTATTAAAAAATTGGCAAAATTTACTATAGAACATTCAAATATTGTGATGATCTTTGCGGTAGACATCATAATTATAAGGCATTGCTTCTAAACATCTTAAAAATATGGTAATTTGTCACTGGATACTCCTGGCAATAAAATAATATATACACCTAAAAGAGTATAGAGTAGCCATGTAAAATGTCAGTTTTACCCTTTTATTTTCTTTCACCATTCTTAATTATAAAAGGAATTGAATGATTTTATGGACTTGCTATTTATAACACCTAGGTGATAAAATGATGCCATCTACTATATATTAAAATTCGTATTAGCGTATACCACGATACAAATTTTAAATCCTAAGATCAAATCATCAAATTCCACCAAAAAACTTGAATTTAAAGTATTTTTAAAATGGTGAATTTGGTACTGATGCATTACAGTTCAATCTTGAAACCAGCAGAGATGACTTTTATTTCTAGTTTAGAAATTTACTAATAATTCATGTACATGAACAGTTCTTTTCACTTTACGTTTTTTATTTTCTAATTGAAAGTCTGAAATCACTTTGACTTTCAAGTTTCAATGGTGAACTTTGCTATCCTAGGAGTAGAACATTGTCGAATTAGTAAACTTTGAATTCTTTCATACACAGTTAAGTTTAGAAAACTGTATTTGTGGGCATTAATAATGAATTCTCTTTTTTGAGCTGATTTATTAATTGAGAGAAGAAAATATTTTCATAGGAAAAAAATCATACTGATCAATGGTCAAGATATGTTCCAGCATTGGTGTTGAATCCAAGTTTTTTTATTAGTACTACGAATCATATGGGATTCCAAGGGGAAATAAACAAGTACCATGGATCATCAGGCATGCCAAGGAGAAATAAATAATATTCGTCACATGAATTCTTCTCTCAATTTCGTAATTATCCCACCTCATCTTTCACCATATGATGTTCTATAAATACCACTCCAATTACCTCATTTGTCACACAGTACACAAACAATACAACCCCCCAACACCTCTCTATTTTTCCTCTTGCAACTGTAGCCAACAATCGTACACTACATGGCTACTCCCTCTCACTGCTTGATTTTTCTCTTCCTGTGCCTGCCAGCAGTCCTTGTTAAGGCTAACATATTTGGAGACATCTATCCATGTCCATGCAAGTGTTCCCAGGAGAATGAGACTAGCCTTCACATGTACTTGCACCAGTTCCCTGCTTTGCCAGGTGTTCCAAACCGGAACGAATATGGGGTGATAAACTCAACAGAACCTATAGGATTTGGCCAGATGTATGTTCATGATTGGCTTCTCACAACGGGAACCAGTGCAAACGAAAATGTTGTTGGACGTCTACAAGGCTTTCATCTCCAAGCTGGTCAAACCACCACCAGCTGGTACATGGCTCACACCATGGTGTTCAGCGATGGCAGGTAAAAACAAGATCTACACACATGATTGTATATTTTGTGAATTGGTGGGTAGTGTTTAGTTTCCACCAAATATTTGATAGTATTTATTTCTTCTATAGATTTAAAATTACATTTCCAAAATATATTAAAGTTGTACACAAGATTGATGATATTAGAATCATTACATTAAGAGTACTTGCGATACGTGAAACTTAATGTCTTTGTGTATGGAATAGTTTTGCAGGGTCCACAATTGAGGTGTCTGGGCTCTTGGGTGTCAAACCCAATGGTCAGTGGTCCATTACGGGTGGGACTGGAACATTTGCTAGTGCGCATGGAACTATCAAGTTTACGAATTCCCAGAGTAGCACTGCCACTGATGACATAAGAGAGCTTGATATTCATGTATTCCACACTCCCAAGGCAGTGGTAAGTACTCCCCATTAGATTTGCAAGAAAGTTAGTTAGAATGAACTTAGTAACGCTAGTTAATGTCACGAAGCCAAATTGCCAATGCCTATATTAAAATATGAATGCACGATTATCTATATTTATTTATTAATGCAAAAATTATCCAGCAATTTACATTTCCATGATTTTGCTATGTTCTTTGTACAGGTCTAAGGTTGAGCAATTGTCAGATCGAATGATGCCATCAGCCGATCAGAACGGTGAATTCAATAAAGTAGCGGTTAAGTTAATATTTGAATAAATAATGTGTTTGTATCCAAGCTTGTATTGTGTTTTTTCTATTTTCGGTTGTCACAAGTGTGTCTAGCAGCTTGCAGCGTTCCTGGTGTTCTTTTCACCGTAATCTTCTTTTACCGTCACCATTTGTGCTCCTCATGTATGTCGATTGATACTTGGGTTTCTAGAATGGGGACTATGATTCCTAGCTATTAATCCATATTTCAATGTTTGATGTTCCATTTGTAATATTTTGATGAATGATTGGAATCCATCCTTTTGATATAATTCAAGAAACACTTATATATTATACTCAGGGGCGAAGGCAGGATTTGAGATTAGAGGGGTGTGGGGTGAGATTAAGCCATGAGACCGAATAACTAATATTGATAGCAAAGGAGGTCAAATAGTGACCGTCAATAACAATCAATGCGTAAACTAGTCCTTTAAAAAAACTGAATTTTAGCTCTTTAATAATATCATTGAAAGTTTGAAACTAGTCTTTATTGCTAAATTCATTCAATGTAAACTATTGAATAATCTCACAAATAAGTATCATCTATTTTACTTTGAAAAAGATGAGAAATCACAAACTAATTTTGTAGATCATGTTTCTTGCTAATATTTTTAGACTTGCTAACTAACTAAACCGATAATACTTTCAAGCTACACAAATAAACTAGATAAATAGTTAATACTTATCTTAGTAAAAATAGGGGGGGGGATGTAGTGGTGGTGGTGTTTGGATGGGGGAATGTTAGCACCCTGTGGCACTCCCCTAGCTGTGCCACTGATTATACTACGTTCTTTCTTAAAAAAAAAAGATAAAAATCTCTAGTCCAAAGCAACCTCTAAGATTTGGGCTGGTGATGTCTTTAAAGATTTTGAACTGTGAAAAGGAAATCAGCGGAGCTTAACCTCTACTGTCCTGTTCATGGTAGCATTATCCAGTAGAAACCATTCAATTCAGCTAGAGAACTCCATGTGTAGACTGCCTCCACCTATTCAAAGCAAATTCAATATTTAGACTTCATACCCCCAAATAAAAGGTGTCTGAAATCGAATTATAAAAGGGTAAAGGAAGATATACATCAACTGAAGCTTGGAGACCATATATGTGAATCTACTCCCATGCATTTTCAGTTACAAACAATCAGTAATTATCAGCTTCTCATATGGCTGTATCATGAGGACCTCTGTATTTTGGATATGTAGCAAGAGTAAGAATTAGGCCTGAAACTTTGGACCTCTGCAATGATCAAATTTTCAGATGAAAACTAGCACTGGTATGAAATACTAATAAGATGAAAGCCAGCACTAATCAAACTTTTTGATGAAAATCAGAAATTTTCAGAGTAAATGTTTTTCTTAGGGGAAGATTACATTTTTTTATGTGAACTAGAAAGGTAGCCCGCGCATATGCGCGGGTATATTGCTTTAATTTTTAGTACAAATGTTTATGTGTGGATGATATCTTTGAAATACTCTTTGACTCTATTTTAAACATGTTTTTGATAATAATTGGTTTATGCATATTACTTGAAACTGCACAGTCTTGAATTTATGAGAAAAAAATTATCACAATAATGGAGTTGGTTCATATCTATTTGTACTATGTGTGATTCTTTTTCGGAATATTTAGCATATCTTATTTTTGGAGTTTACAAACTTTAAGTAACATTTTATTCTTGTATTCTATAGATGACGATGGACTTTATGATATATTAGTGAATGATATTTTCTATTAAAAATATATCTAATAGGACTACTTCATCTAATTAAACATAGACTTATATTACTTATACTCCCTGCGTCGCATAAATCCAAAGAGTCAAATTTTGTCTCAAACCAATTGGGGAATTTATATGTATCCAAAACAAAGTGAATTTTTAAAATAGTACTATGATAATCTCCAGAGCACTATGTTATTGTTTATATTTTGAAAAATATCGCCTGGTTTATTTTCAACACCTATGATTCATAATCACATGAGACATATTTACTAATTTGAAGAATGCATTTATTTTCCCAAACTTATGTACAATAACTATTTCGTTGAAGTATAGTTATAGTCACGTCAGTAGAGTGTGTATGACATATTGACACACATCCATCAATTATCCTGAAATATTGAATCTTATCAACTATAAAAAAATATACCATAGGTAGTTTATTGCACATGTTACTTGATTATTCATTTGTTGTCAAAACTATTTGCCAAATAAAAAAAAACACACTATATGGCCATAAATCTCAAAGATGGACTAATGTGTTGGATTATAGCATGATCATTGGCTAGAAATATTTTTGATAATTTTTCACATGAATATAATTTTTGTGCTGGTCACTTCTCAAATACCAATCAAATAGTTCAAAAAATAAGAAAAAACTTTGAGAATCTTAATTGAAATAATTTAAAAATAAATAAGATCTACTTGAAAAAACACAACTAAATTGTGTTGTTTTTCATTTTTTTTATATATGTACATTTGAATTAGCTTTGTATATTCATCAAATGATATTTGACGCCCTAAATACGATGTTAAATTATTTGAAAATTATCATAACATTAATTATTATATGCCGGCCTCAAGCATTGTGATGTATTTAATTAAAGGAATACAACAGGATCACAAATTGGATATATGATTTTAAAATAATTTAAAAGATAGAACATTCATAGAGCATTGATAGAATATTATAGATCTATAGTTTGACAACTTATATTTGCGTAAATTTGTAAAGTAATGTATTTTATTTCTAAATTGTAGAAAATCCTATTTCTTTCCAACGATGGAAGAATCACTTCAAGAGAGACTTTGTGCTGCTTGTGCACACAGCAAAACTGTTAGATCAACCCTTCCGGAAATCATGGCTTGATATCCTTATGTAATCCCCTCTTGTACATATGTTATTTGTAAATTTTATATATTTCTAATATATCAGTAGGAGACTCTCCTGCTGTTTTAACCATCAAAAAAAATTGTGAAAATCGTATTCTAAAGACAAACGATTATTTTTCAATGGTACTACGTACTTATTTTTCTTGGCTTTATCTTTTTTATCGTTAGTCTGTGCATGGCTTTTTTTTTCCATCTCGTGAACTGTATGTAAGCTTTATTGTTTTTTCAATCGTACATAGGAAGTACTTATTTTCTTTTGCCAGCCAAATATTATTACTTTTTAGTAATACACCTAATCTATTGATGTAAAATATCAGCTCACCAATTTAAGTGAAAATCGACGATGAGATTAGATAGTGCAATGTGACGATATAAAAGTGTTTGTAGGAGTGTCACGTGGCTGCTTAAGAGCGCTTGTAGAAAATTTAATTGACTTCTTAATATATAATAGAAGATTTCTTTGGAAAAATTGTTCATTTAATTTGGCATCGCTAATTGTCAAACTAAGCGTAAAGTCTAGAATTCCCGTGCATAGTGCTCTTGAATACCTTAATGAATTGTTTGGTTACTAATTATCTATATATATATATATATGTATCTATATATATATATATATATATATATATATATATATATATATATATATATATATATGTATATATATGTATGTATATATATGTATATATATGTATGTATATATATATATATGTATGTATATATATATATGTATACAAATATATGTATATATATACATATATATATATATGTATATACACATATATTTATGTACATATACATATATGAATATACACATATATTTATGTACATATACATATATGAATATACACATACATATATGTACATATACATATATATATATATACATATATATATATATATACATATATATATATATATATATATATATATATATATATATATATATATATATATATATATATATTCGTCACCTCTTATTATGATGAAGATGAAAACTCTATAATTTAGCACAAACATATGTACCGGTGCACTTTTTTTTTTAAAAAAAAAACATGTACCGCTGAACTCATCTTTTTTCTTCACAAGAAGAAACGTTGAGTATGTAATATGCTATGCTTGGTTTGGTTACAGTACAAACCATTGTATATATGGAACTTGATTCATTAAAACCTAAACTAACGGCACAAATCATGTACGTATGTAAAATAGTAGGAGCGTTTGTATACAGGAGGAAGTTATAATATTTTAATAATGGAAAAAGTACGAATTACCCCCCGAACTATCGCGGTCATCCGAATTACCCCCTGAACCACAAAACAAGACATTCTTCACCCCCAACTATACAAACCAGGCGAATTACCCCCCTGACCCAAATCCGTGGTAGTTTTGGTCTACGTGGCGTACGCGTGACAGTCCAGTCAGCATTCTATTTATTAAAAAACCACTCTTCCTCTCTCTCCTCTCCCTCACTCTTCCTCTCTCTCTTCTCTCACTCTCCTGTCTCACTCAACCTCTCTCTCACGCGCACGGCGAGCAGGTCGGAGGGGCGGCGGCGGCGAGGCAGAGCGAAGGGCCGGCGGTGGCGGCGAGCGCGACGGCGAGGCGAGCACGAGGCAGGGCGGAGGGGCAACGGCGGCGGCGGAGGAGGCGAGGCAGCGGCGAGGCAGGGTGGAGGAACGGCGGCAGTGAGGCAGAGCGGAAGGGCGGTGGCGGCGGCGGCGAGCGCGACGGCGAGGCAGGGCGGAGGGGCGTCAGCAGCATGGCAAGGCAGAAGGGCGGCAGCGGCGGCGGAGGTCCACGCCGGCGACGGGATGAGGACGACGACGGATGAGGATGACCAGCTTGCTCGTCTAGGCGCCCACCGTCACGACGCACTTAGCGCCGTGGAACACCTCGCCGCTGCTCGTCATCGCGAAGATTCCGGCCTCCCCGTCCTTCTTGACGACACCGACGACCTCTGCGCCGCCTCGCCTCCTCCTCCTCCGCCGCGCCTCGCGCTCGCCTCGCCACCGCCCCTCCCCCCTGCCTCACGCTCGCGCTCGCCTTGCCGCCGCCCTTCCGCCCTGCCTCGCTGCCGCCGTCCCTCCGCCCTGCCTCGCCGTCACCTCGCCTCCTCCGCCGCCGCCGCCGCCGCCTCTCCGCCCTGCCTCGCACTCGCGCTCGCCTTGCCGCCGCCGCCACTACCCTTCTGCCCTGCCTCGCTGCCGCCGTCCCTCCGCCCTGCCTCGCAGCCGCCTCGCCTCGCCTCCTCCGCCGCCGCCGCCGCCCCTCTGCCCGGCCTCACGCTCGCCTCGCCATCTCGCTCGCTCACCGCCGCCACCCTCCGCTCTGCCTCGCCGCCGCTGCCCCTCCGCCCTGGTCGCCGTGCACGTGAGAGAAGAGAGAGACAGGGGAATAGTGAGAGAGAGAAGAGAGAGAGGGGAAGAGTGGGAGGAGTATGACAGGTGGGTCTCACATTTTTTTAATAAATAGAATGCTGACTGGACTGCCACGTGTACGCCACGTAGACCAAAACCACCGCGGATTGGGTCGAGGGGGGTAATTCGGGGTAATTCAGACGACCGCGATAGTTCGGGGGGGTAATTCGTACTTTTTCCTTTAATAATAGATCTAATCTAATGGTGTAAAATAACGGGTCCACCAATTTAAGTGAAAATCAACACTGAGATTAGATAGTGCCATGTGACGACTTAGGAGCGTTTGTAGGAGTACCACATGGCGGCTTAAGAGCGTTTGTAGGAAGTTTAATGGACTTTTAGTATATAACTAGGAAGGTAGCCCGCGCATTCACGCGGGCATGCTTGTTATTTTGTTTCAAAAACAGGTCTAACAAAATGAATTTAAATTAAAGTGAGGTATTTCCCTTCTTATTTAAAGGATGGTATTTCTCTTCTTAATTGAATTATTAAAGTGAGGTATTTCCCTTATCAATCTTCTACCAGGGACTAATGATCCAAACAGGGCCAAATTTGTTTTGTCGGACAGGGAGTCAGCGATGCCATTGGCGACGCAATACGCGCACGGACTGTATGGTGTTCATGGCGTTGACGCCCACCGCAGTGGGTAGCACGCTGCTGTTGCACACGTACAACCGCCCTGCCTCCCAGCTCTCGCCGCGGGCGTCGACGGCGCCGTCGCCCGCTGTGGCGCCCATCCGACAGTTACCCATGTGGTGCGCAGAGCAGAAGAGGCCCCACGTCTCGATCTTTGACTGCGGCCCCCGCACTTGTCTTTTAGAGATTGATCTAATGGTTAAAATTATTGGGTCCATCGGATTAAATGAAAAATCAATGGTTAGATGTTTTGCCTTTTTCTCAGAATTTTTAAGAATTTCTCTAATCTACCAGAGTGCCACGCGGTGGCTTAAGAGCATTTATAGGGTACACGTGGCAGCTGAGAAGCATTTGTAGGAATTTTTATGGACTTTTAGTATATAATCTTACATACCAAACACATGGTCAATAAGGATCAAACTAAAAATTAAATATGTTAAAAAATATTTAGCCATCTAATTATTGACTTTTTTTTATCTCATTAGCTAGAAAACTGAGAGAGGTAGCGAGGAAAGCGGAGACTTATCATCAGTTAGTTCATATGCGTAGTTCGTCAAAACTACGCCTGTCATAGATGATATTACTTCTTTGATGGATTATCCCTACAAACATATCTCAAACATGCCACATTTTGATCCGTTCATTAGTATGAGACCTATCATAAGTAGTTTATCATGGATGGCTTCGCTTAAGCGTGTCTTAAATTGAATATGTAGATTGGCTAAAAGAGTAATTATTTATTTATGTCACCAAGATCATTCATATATAAATTAATTTTCCACTTAAAAGTAGATCTAACAATTTTTATAGTAAAAAATTATGGTGCATATAACCTTAAAAAGAAAGAGAATACAGAGGGGGAGGAGCAGATGTGGTGGTACGAACGTATTATACGTACCCGTGGGTACAAGAGAAAAGGGTGATAGGATCGGTGGACTTAATCTAATGGTTAGTATTATTGGGCCCATAGTTTTAAATAAAAATAAACGGTTGGATATTTTTCTTTTTTCTCAAAGTTTATTAGAGCGCCACGTGATGGTTTAATTAGGAGCGTTTGTAGGAATCCCACGTTGCGGCTTGAGAGTGTTTATACCAAGATCATTCATATATAAATTAATGTTCCACTTAAAAATAGATCTAACAATTTTTATAGTAACAAATTATGGTGCATATAACCTTAAAAAGAAAGAGAATACAGAGGGGGAGGAGGAGATGTGGTGGTACGAACGTATTATACGTACCCGTGGGTACAAGAGAAAAGGGTGATAGGATCGGTGGACTTAATCTAATGGTTAGTATTATCGGGCCCATAGTTTTAAATAAAAATAAACGGTTAGATATTTTTCTTTTTTCTCAAAGTTTATTAGAGCGCCACGTGATGGATTAATTAGGAGCATTTGTAGGAATCCCATGTGGCGGCTTAGGAGCGTTTGTAGGAAGTTTAATGGACTTTTAGTATATAATAGATAAATAGATAGATGCCCCTAAGAAGAGGTCATCTAGTTATGGATCTTCTCCCATAATTTAACCAAATGTTCAACATTCATCAGACCAACACCATCAGACTAAGATTCAAGATTCACATACAGCAATATTCAATATTGTTGCCATCTCCTTCAGCATGTATGAATGGGCAGAATACAGAAAAGAAAAACAAATGCACACACATTGTTGCCATCTCTTTCAGCCTCACCTAAATTTTTCAGAGTTGCAAAGCTGTGTGGTGCTGCATGCTGAACAAACATCGAGATCAAGATTCATTCACTGATTATTCATCGGAGATCACACAATCTCGATCAGTAGATAATTGAGCCCACCCCGAGTCTATCCCTGAGAGGGTCAACATTTGCATACCAATAATCAACCTGAGGATAATTTTGTACTGATCCACCGATTATTCTCTCCAGGAACAACACACCATCTCAGACCAAGATTAAAAATTCACATGCAGCAAAGATTCAATTTGCCACATTTCTACTGAGGCTCACATGCAGGATAGACAAGACGTCAACACACCTCTTGGTAGAGAAGATAAAATGTGTAAACTTGAAAAGTCCTTGTATGGACTGAAACAGGCCCCAATGCAATGGCATGAAAAATTCGACAAAACATTGATCTCTGCTGGATTCACTGTTAATGATGCTGACAAATGTGTATATTCCAGGTTTGATGGAGATATAGGTGTCATACTCTGTCTTTATGTTGATGATATTTTAATCCTTGGTACAAACCTGAATGTCATCTCTAAAATCAAATGCTATTTATCAAATAAATTTGATATGAAAGATTTGGGTGAAGCCAAAGTAATTCTGAACATTAAGATTCAGAAAAAAGGACAAAGGTTTTGAACTCAATCAGTCACACTATGTGGAGAAGCTTTTGCATCGTTTTGGTCATTTTAATAGCAAATCTGCAGCTACTCCCTATGATCCTTGTTTAAAATTGCATAAAAATCAAGGTCAGGGTCTTGACCAAGTGAAGTTTGCACAAATAATTGGGTCTTTAATGTATCTTGCAAATACTACTCGTCCTGACATTTCATATGCAGTTAGCAGGCTGAGCAGGTATTCGAGCAAACCTGATTCAAATCATTGGCATGCTCTAGAACGTGTTCTAAGGTATTTGAAAGGGACCATGAATCAAGGTTTGTTTTACTCTGGTTTCCCAGCTGTGCTGGAGGGATATAGTGATGCAAATTGGATCACTGATTCTGATGAAATGAAATCAACGAGTGGTTTTGTTTTTACCCTTAGTGGAGCTGCCATATCGTGGAAGTCTGCAAAACAGACTATATTAACACGATCCACCATGGAAGTGAAACTAGTAGCATTGGAGACTGCTTGTTGCGAAGCTGAATGGCTTAGGGAACTATTGATGGATATTCCAATAGTAGAAAAACCAATTCCTGTAGTGCTCTTGTATTGTGACAATCAAGCTGTGATAGCTAAAGTTACAAGCAAGAAAGAAAACATGAAATCTTCTAGACATATGAAGAGGAGACTAAAGTCTGTTAGAGACTTGAGGAATACTGGTGTAGTTACATTTGACTATATCAAGACAGAAAAGAATTTGGCTGATCCATTCACAAAAGGATTAGCACGAAAGCCAATATTAGAGTTGTCGAAAGGGATGGGGCTGAGGCCTGCTAATGAATTATTGACAGTGGCAACCCAACCTGTTTGATTGGAAATCCCATGACACAGGTTCAATGGGAAAACAAGCTGATCTGTAATGGTGAGTACTGATTAAATTACATTATACCCCTTGCTATTGATTCAGTACTTCTAATTTGCAAGGAAGAGGTTGAGCTGTGTCTCTTAATGGATTCAAATCTAAGTGATGGGATATGTGCCTTGCAGGATATCCTTAGAGAATCCACCTACTTGAGCGTGATTGTTTGGTCGCAATCCATGGAAGTTTAGCTGGCCGCTTCCTAAAGCACTCATGAGATCCAAGATACTTGTGTATGACCGAAAAGCACAAAACTGAAAGGGCTCTTGTGGCTGTAGCCGTGTATTGTGCACCTACTTGATGATGTTTACACACCAAGGAGTAAAGTTCAAGGTTACCTCCACTGCGCTCCTGTGTAAATTAAGTCATGTACTAGCTAGACATAAGGTTCAAGTCTGGAAGGCACCTGTGTCGAAAACACAATATATTAAACTCTCTATTGCTGAAACATCATTTGTAACTTTGTGGGGGATTGTTGGAATTCAGTTGGTTTTCCTTCTGATTATATCTGAATGAAAGTCACAAACGATGTTTGATGGTTGTTCAGATTTTATCTCTTTGATTCTATTCATTTTGTACCAGCGATCCTTCAGTTTGGTTCAGATAAATTTATCTGAACTTTTGCCTTATCTTCATATTTCGGTTTTCAGTTTTGATCTTGTTGGTTTGAGCTGTACGTGGAAGATAAGTCTTTATCGTTCCAGATATTCAGGCCGACGAAAATCAATCTGTTGATTGTTTGTTATCCGGCTTAGAGATAAGATTTTCTTGTTGCTATACAAGGCTATATAAGTCACGTACTGCTGCTGTATTTGTTGCACGAAGTTTTTGCCCACATCCATCTGCTTGTTTTGCATAGAGAGAGTTACATCCCACGAAAGTCCGCTGGTTCGTTCTTGGCCGAGTGCACGGCTGAGGATACGAGATCATTGTATCTTGGAGGAGAGCCGCCGTCCGTCTCGTGCACCTCGGCGAGGGCGTGAATCTCCTTGAAGACAGCGCCGCCGGCGTGCCTTGATCAAGCTGAAGCTGCTGTTCATCATTCGGCAACGAGCGGCATCTTCAGAACCTGCAAAGCTGCCGCCTACGACACTGACGACCTCCAACAAAAGGTAGAAATCAAAATGAATCATGTAGTAAATTAATTATGTTTCATTTTACAGTATTTTTACAAGAGACAATTGGGATAGATGGATACAGTTGATATTATACATCCTTTTGGAACATATTATACATAAGTTCTGCATTGTGGATGGTTGGATTGAACAAAATTTGGAAGAAAAAAAACATTTACCTGTAAGGTTTGTCACTTCATGACGAGTGTCCGCGTGCCTTTTGGATGCTCCAGAGCCACCTTGGGGAGGCACAGAGCTACTAAGTCCTGCACTAATTAATAATACACATCAACGAATGGTTAGAGTGGAATAATATTAGTGAATATATATCACAAATACATCGATCCACACAAGTTTGGAAGAATCATACCCTTAGAACTGGACATTCTTGGCAAGGATCTCGTTGAGAAAGCTTCAAGTGATCGAATTTGTTGTTCTGGAGCTTTTGTAAGCTTGGCTATCTATATTGCCTTTTTGAGCTCTCACAATTATTTTTGGCTAGCTTTGTATGTTTATGTGCTTATATAGATATAGAATTTGCCCTAAGGTAATTACGATCGATGTGATGGGAAACTACAAAGCAGTAGCTAGTCATGTAAGCTGTAAGTGTTCTAATTTGTACCAATTAATTTCGTGTAATTACATGCTATTTTTTAGTATTATCCCAAATATGTGTTTAAGAAAACGTTCATATACATAAGTAGTTCCGCTGTTTTGAACTTGTGTAATCTAGGTAGTATTTTTTAGACTCGATCAAACGTCGTACGTCCTAAAAAAACGAGTAAGAGTGATGAGACCTTGGAAGATTTTGACAGAATTTTCATGCTAAGTTCAAACCTTCGTCTGGCCAAATTGAGGAAAACATCCTGGGCATTTCTCATCGCACTCATATATTCTACTCCGAACAAACCCTTCCACGTAACAGAACTACTAAAGCAGTTGATAATTGATGCAAGTATAGGTTTTACAGGTATTTTTCCATCTCTTTTCTCTTGCAATCAGACTCAACTCAAATCTAAGGAAATCTAGCTTGCATGGTGAGAGGAACGCATGCTGCTTCATAGTTGTATATTTTAATTTTGACGTCGACAACGCGATTAATTAATTTCCATGCATGGGTCGTGTCGTGTGCAAGCTCTGTGACTGACTATGAAACTGTCAAAAGTTATTTTATAAGGTCGTTCATGATGTTGTTTTTTCCTCCCCTTTTCCTTCCAATAAGGCTCGACCAAAGATTAGTTCAACATCAAGGTGTTGCTATGGTCTAAACTCTGAACGACCGTTGTATTGGGCTGCATGGATTTTCGTTAGGAAAAAGTACACCGAAGGTCCCTCAACTTGTCATCGGGATAGAAAAACATCCTCGAACCATAAAACCAGATATGCAGGATCCCTTAACTATACAAAACCGATCACCTGAGGTCCTTCGGTGGTTTTGACTACGGTTTTGGCCTACGTGGCTGCTGAGTCAGCGTGGGCCCACGTGGGCCCCACATGTCAGCGTGCCACGTCATCACCATCTCTCTCTTTCCCTTCGACCTCTCTCTGGGCTGGCGGTAGGCGGGCGCGCTCGCGGCGGTCGACGGATGGGGAGCGGCGGCTAGTAGGCAGCGGTGGCGGAGGCGGAGGCGGTGAAGGTGGCGGTGTGATAGCGGCGGGCATGGTGGTCGTTGGCGTCAGCGTGCCCCGCTTCTCCCGGTGGTCGTCGGCGTCGGCATGGTGGTGGTCTCAGTGGCGACAGATGTGGTGGCTAGCGTGCGGCGTGCAGGCGGGCGGGGCCAGGAGATGGCGGCCAGCGTGCAGCGTGCCTGACGACGGCGGCGAAGGAGTCCCAACAGCCGGCGGAGGCGCGCCGCCTACAAGCCGAGCGTTGACTCACATAAAGGAGAACCACAAATTTCAGCTAAACGGGAGGAAAGGTCACAGGGAAGAGAATCCGGCAAATGGCCTTGCACTGTTGCACATATTGTCAGTGAAATTAAGAACAAACATGAGCTGAAGTATGATGTTCTCTTCTAATAGCTCCTTCTTTTATTCAGTTTATGCCTGTCAATTTTCAACCAAATTCATCTTCGTCACAACAAATTTTGTGTCAAAAATTTCAGGTATGTTTATGTGTGGCACGCGATTACAAGATACTGGGGTGGAGTAAGGCCTGGTGCTGATGGAATGGAGCACTACGAATCGAAGATGTAGTACCCGGTTTCATCACCGGGAGTTCAGAAGAACGAGCCATGTGATGCTCTGAACAGCATAACCACCAATGGCCTTGGCCTTGTGAACCCTGACAGAGTGTTCAGCTTCTACGACGAGCTACACGCCTACCTTGCATCAACTGGGATCGATGGAGTGAAAGTAGATGTTCAGAACATTCTTGAGACATTGGTGCTGGCCATGGAATGGTGGTTTTGGTTGTTTACATGCTTCTGCTGTTGATGATGCAGTTCTAAGAGGAGTGCAGTTGTGACTTGTGAGAGCTTCTGATGATTTCTGGCCCAGAGAACCTGCCTCACATACTATACATATTGCATCTGTTGCATATAATACTGTATTTCTTGTAGAATTCATGCAGCCAGACTGGGACATGTTCCATGTGAGAATCATCACTACATTCCTTTGCTACCATGGATTATGTGATGTCTGAGCTGCTAATCTGAATTTCTTTTGGTTGACAGAGCATTCATCCGATGGCTGAATACCATGCTGCAGCAAGAGCAGTCGGTGGCTGTGCCATATATGTCAGGTATAACTAGAATGTATTCTTCAGCATACATAAATAAAATTCTCTGCTTTGTAGTGCAGTGAGTTCTTGATGCTAAGTTAGATGTTCATGTGCGCATATATATGTGTGATGTTGCAGTGACAAGCCTGGGAACCATGACTTCAATCTGCTGAAGAAGCTGGTTCTTCCTGACGGATCGATCCTGAGAACCAAACTCCCTGAGATGCCATGCCATGACGATCCAGTGTGAGCCAATGCCGTCGTCGGTGCGGTCGTCGTCGTGGGTGAAAGGCATCGCTACGGCGTGGACGACCATGACGTTGCTGAGCAGCTGCAGCGCGCCGTGCAGTCCTCAATGACGTACGGGCCGCTGCCGCTGCTCGCCTGCTCCTGCGGCCGCGGGTAGTTCGGGTCACACGACGGCGCCATTTCCGATTGCACGCGCGTACGCTTGCCTGCGGGCGAAGTCGTGTGTCGTCGGCTTCTCCTTCTCCCCGCCGGTCGCCGCCTGACGACGACGTCCCGGCGCCGCTCCCCATCTGCCGGCCGCCGCGCGCTCGCCCGCCTGCCGCCAACGCCGCTCCGCGCCTCCGCTCCACTCCGCTTCGCCGGCCGCCGCACGCTCGCACGCCGCCTCCGCTGGCCGCCTCTCAGCCCCGCTCGCCGCCCGGTCGTCTGCTCCCTACCCGTCGGCTGGCCTGCGAGAGAAGAGAGAGAGAGAGGGGAGGAAGGGAGAGAAGAGGGGAAAGGGCAGCTGACGTGGCACGCTGACATGTGGGTCCCATGCTGACTCAGCCGTCGCATAGGCCAAAACCGAGGTCAAAACCACCAAAGAACCTCGGATGACCGGTTTTATATAGTTAAGGGACCTCGTATATCTGGTTTTGCGGTTCGAGGATGTTTTTATATCCCAATGACAAGTTGAGGGACCTTCGGTGTACTTTTTCCTTTTCGTTAATAGGCTGGTCACTGACAAGGCTTTTTTTTTTTTTTTTTTGCTCCGGCTAAGCCCATATAGTCCAGGGCCCAGAGAGCAGTACTTAGCCGTTTAGCTGAATTAGTTGGCTTTGGTCAGAGCTTTGGGATTACTGGTCCAAAGATTTCGTGGCTTGTTGCTAGTATGCCACTTGCTAGCACAGACTAAACTCTAGAGGGACAGAGTAGCAGCACGCCAAATCGCCAAACTTTTGGGAGAATCACTTTTTTAAAAATTAAAATCCTCAAACGGGCTTTGCACAAAGTTGTACTATTGAAAATACGACAATGGATATTGGCTAAAATCACAAGCACGAGTGTAATCGTGTTTTGGAAGAGAAATTGTGTGGAGATTATGGGTACCCCATACCCACACGGCATGGTTATTCGACTAGTTATAGGGGATAACTTATATTTATGTAATATGTAACAGATCATGACTTGGGTGTTACGTTTCCTTGTATATTACGGAACGGCCTAAAGTCCTGGTTTGATAATATTGTAAAGTAGATTTAGGAAACCGATACCGTATTGGTTAAGGTTTCTATCTTGTAATCCTGCCCCCCATCCTATATAAGGTGGGTAGGAGGCCCTCTAGGGGGCATATGAGACAACCTGATCGTCAGATCAATACACACCCGGCGGATTCAAATCCCCAAACAGGAGTAGGGTATTACCTCTCATTGAGAGGGCCTGAACCTGTCTAAATCCTTTGTCTCTGCATCCATCCACTTTTAGGTCTCGTGCGCTACCCCTTTTTATTATTGCCGAAATCATGTTTCGACAGTTGGCGCGCCAGGTAGGGGAACGCCGAGTTATCTATCAAGAAGTGCGATGGAACTTATCTCAGGAATCACCGGCACCACTGTTGCTCCAAGATCCAATCCTGACAGGGAGATTGATCTCGGCGAACTTGATAGATTTAATCTTCGATGTCATCAGCTTTTTCTTCTCAATCCGTTATTTATTGGATTAATTCTAGTCACTGCTTGATGCTATTCTTCTTTTTATTCTCTATTGCTTGATGCTGGCGCAACGTGCTCAATTGGGCATGGTAAGCCGCAGCTACGCAAGGCGAAGCCGTCCACTCGTAGCGAATCCAAGTCGTGGGCTGGCAGGACATGCACGAAAGTTCACGAGACGAGATCGCTGGAGATGTACAGGACGTATCGATTCAATCGCCATGCATGGATTAATTAATCCAGCCATACATGCATTCAATATTGCTGGATACGTACAGGGCAAATTGATCCATATATAGTCATTATCTCTCTACTTGCTAATAACAGGCTAACGATAAACTTTGTCGCTTGTTTTGCATATATTCGGGAGCTGTACGTGGTTGTTTGCCGGACATCGATCAAAATTAAACAGCCATCTGCTGCCGAGAATACGGGCAATATGTACATCCATAACTTTATACATGACGAGCTATGGATCGCTTGATCAGTCCTAGCAACACAGTGCAACACCAATGACTAATTTTCTCCGTCTCGGAGTCAGTCCGATCAAGGAGATCAATCTCGGCGAGTTCAACAATTTAATCTCCGACTTCGCCGGGTTTTTTCCCTTTCAACTTATTGTTGTTTATTAGATTAATCTTTAAATTTCAGATTAATCTCTTGGTATTTTCTGCTGTTTGCATGTAATGCTGCGGCACTACTCTTGCCGAGTGGTGTCTCCGCCTACACGGCTGGCCTATTATGCCGCCGCTGTTGGGCGTCTACGACTTCACCGCCGGCCTGCCTCCGTCGCCGCCGAGTGGTGCCTCCGCCTACACGG